TCACCATATTTGAATTGGCCTGAACAGATGTAAATCGGGAAGGATGGGAAAAACTGCAGTCATCAACAATGATTAATCAGCTGTTGCAGGCAGTGTCTTAAGGAGACTGGTAGGAGGAGGCATGGAAACCAAAAGGCAGTGTATTTGAAGCCTAATTGTCACATCAGAGCATCATTGTCCCCATGCAGCAACAACCACCTTATACATCACTTCCTGTTTTATGCAGCTCAAAACATGAACTGAAGATTTATTTTTAATATGTTGACTTTATTTCTGGGCAAAGCATCAGTCGTGTGCATTTTCCCATAGTCCCATCATGGAGCATTTATGTATACATTGTAAATAAATTTTGTGCAAAAAGGACTGGAAAAATGATCTGTATTATTGCAATTTTTTGTAAAAGTAGCAGTTTGGTATGAGTTGGCATGCATACAGATTTACTAAGTGGGATAAGCTAATTATACTTTTGTTGTGGTTAAAACAAATGCTTGTTGATAGCCTTTTTCTATCAAGAAACCAAGGAGCTAATTATTATTAATAATAATCATTGCACACTGAGTCTTAGAGTTTCTGATTTGAAACAGTTTGGATTGTATAATAACTCAAAGCCCAGCTGTAGTAGTTTGAGTGCAGTAATGAGATCTGAATCTAAAATAAAAACAAATTATTTTTTGTCATGCTGACTCCACTGCTTCAAAAATTTGTTTACTGCCCCCACTTTAACATCTGTAGTAATTCTGTGACAAGATGAGAACCCAGCAAGTGCAGAATTAAACTAACTCTCCGCCCCTGCAAATTACCTATCATTGTTATTTAAATATCATCCTCCATAGAAAATTATTTAAAAGTAATGCCTACACTCTGTCAAGAAACTTTCTTAAAGCTTGTACTGCAAATTGTCAGGATGATAACTATTGCCTATTAGCAAATTTAACATCCAAGGGCATTAACTATCTGCAGAATATTGGATAGAAATTTAAATATTATATCCTACAGAATTACACTTGTAATACCTGATTTAAATTGTGACTCACTGACAGATTAAATTTCTGGAGCATATTTGGGGGGAGGGGGAGAGAGTTAAATATAGTCTGAAAAGTGGATATTTGTAAGTCAATTAACTACTGGAACTAAAAGATGAGAGACTTTTTTTTTTATTGAAGCTCATAAATAAGCCCCGTGTTCTGATTGGCTGAAGACTGGTCATTAACCACTTTCCCAGCACAGCTGTACTCTCTGCATTGCAGCCAACTAGTTAAATAGTACAAAATAGCATGTTTAGGCTGCGATACATTATAATTTTCTTTCAATAAAATTGCAGCTCTAAAAAGGAGCGTTTCCTAAGGGTACAAAAATATACAAATATATTAATTAAGGCAAGTTAATAATAATAATAATAATAATAATAATAATAATAATAATAAACCCTAGCAGTGCCTGCTTGGTAAACAAAAGGTAGGATCTGAGTAGGGCTGGCTCTGGCTCTAAAGTCTGCCATTCTGCCATTCAAGTAGATGTCACCCCATAAACCCGCCCTGAACAATTCTATTTTCCATTTGAAAAGAGGAACCAGTTGTTCGGTGGGTTTACTAGGTGAGATCTGATTGACTGGCTTACCTGCTGGAGCAGCCCTGTGCCCTCTCACCTTTTGTTTATTGGACCCTGCTTCAGAAGGCTCCCTTCTAAACGCATCTCCCTTTTTGAAAATTAACTCTCTATCCATAAACACCCCCACCTTTCGTTGATGCAGGATATTATTTTTGGTGGGGGAAAAGAAACCCCAAATCTTGTAGCTTTCAGCCTGCAAATAGTCTCTAAGATTGAAATAACTCCCTCTTTGATAGGTGGTTACTAGCAGTTAATGACCATTTGTTTACTTTTTCCATTAAATAAGAACTATATTATGAACTAGGCCTAACTATCTCTCTCTCTCCCCACCAAGCGATCCCTTCCAGGGGAGTGCCAGGCCAAGACTTCATGGGGCTGATTCTCCGCTGGCTCCAGAGGAATCCGCTGGATGGAGACTGGGAGGGAGCACTGGCGGGAGTGGGGGAGTGAGCTGGGGACCCTTAGGGACAGCTGAGGCTTGAGCTGGAGGCTGGGGAATTAGCAAAATCAAGCCAAGTGGGGGCTTTTCCTCTCCCTTCCCTCCTCTGATCTCTTCCCCCCACTTTTTCTCCTTTTCTTTTCTTTTTTCTTTTCTTTTCTTTAACCCCTCGCTTTTTAAAGGGCTGATGCATTGATAAGGAGATTGCACATTTCAGCTGCTGCTTTTGTGATTTCCGAATCAGGACACTTTTCTACCCAAATGCCAGTGCTCGGAGAGTGAGGCTGGCTCTTTTTCTTTTCTTTTCTTTTTTTAATGTTTCTTAAAAGACAAAAACAAACCGCCCTCCTTTTAAAACAAGGGCACACGCGTTTGTGCCTTCTTAGGGGTGGGGAGAAGAGGGTCACAGGACTCCTTCCTAATATGACTTTCTTTATTTGGGGGGGGGAGGGAAGGGGGAGGGCATTTCAAATTAAAAACACTATAATATCTGCGGACATTTAATCAGCTGTAATTATAACACATTCCAAATGAAGAATATGCCTTGACAGTATTTTTATTGTTATTGTTCATCGCATGATGTTAGACGGCTTTAGAAGGCGCAGGAAAGAGAAGTAAACGGGTTACAAATAGGGAATTATCCCTCGTTTAGCATTAAAATTCATTTAGATAAAATTGCCACAAACATTTAAATGGGGAGATTAGTTCCCCCTCACGCCTTATTGCACTCTCTCAATGGCTCCGTTAAGAACATTTTACACGTTGGAAATTCCGTCTTCTCAGGCTGCTTGCTGTTTCCTAGCTACCCCACATTCAAAGCAAAGGCTGCGAGAGAGAGGGAAGGGGGAGGGAGAGGAGGAGGAGGAGGAGGAGGAGGAGGAGGTGGTTTGCATGGTGGAAGGGAGAGGTTGGGAGGGGGGGGAAAGTTTTGGCAACCGGTCTGCAATTCATCCGCTCGGATCTGCCCTAACAGAGGGAGAAAATAAATATCTGGAGGCTTTCTCTTCCCTTCCCCAGCCCTGGCCTGGAGACACTGGCTCCGGGCTCTCGGGCAGGCTGGTCCCGGGCCTGGCGGCGGGCGGGTTGCATCCCCCGTGGCCGGATGGCTTGGAAAGCAGCTCGGCTGCGCTGCCCTGCTCCCCCTCCGCTGCCCTCTCCGCATGCGGCGGCGGCGGAGGAAGAGGAGGAGGAATGTCAGCTTCGACTGCCATCTTTTGGGGGTTTGCAAAACTGACTCGGTAGGATCCTTCCCTCCCCGCCACCTCCAGCCCCGGCTCTCGCCACCTCCTCCCCCCACCCCCGCTCTGATTATGCTGTGTCCCTTAATCTGGTGCTTAAATATTTGATGTGGAAAAATTAGCCATAAAATTAGTTACTAAAAATTTCAAATTGAAATCACTGATCGAATTAGGGACGCGGGCGAGGGGAGGCGGGAGCGGAGGCGCTGCGGTGGAGGGAGCCCTCTT